GTGCAGATTTCTCAAGATGTTGAAGGTGAGATACAGGGCTGCTCAACAGCTGTCTTTTCTTATTAAGACTTCTCTGTAGATCGTGGATCTTATGATCAAGTTGGCGAGTATTTTGAGGGGTCTGAAATGCAGATGATATTGACCCTTCAGTCAGAAGTGGTGGTGTTGGCGTACGCAGTTGAAAGGTAATTTTTGAAAGAACCCTTTCTTTATCTAATGGTTTGATCCCTGCTCCAGCAAAGCCACCATAGATATTCTCTTTGGTAAAGACCTTCTCGCGTGCAGATGGATAGAGAGATAGGAAATCATCCTTATCAATATGGTTGTTGCCAGCAATCATCATTCCCTCAACTAGCTTCCCATATGCACGTTTTAGTGGCCCAAAAACACCAACATCTAGTGGTTGAAGAAGATGAGATGAATGAGGTGGCATACAGAGACAAATGATTGCATGCTCTTTGCAGAATCCATCAAACTCTGCACTTAAATGGCTACTATGACCATCAAGTACAAGTAGCCGCTTTGAACCAACTGAATAATGTTTGGAATATGGCTCAAACACCTCTTTAAGCCAGCGTAAGCCTATTATATCAGTAGTCCAGCCATTCTGACTTGTGGCTAGCCTCCAATCTTGAGAGAGGGCTGATTCTTGATACCAAGAGGCTTGATGCTCCTTCCCTTTAAGGATCACAACTGGAGGAATTGAACATCCATTTGACCCTATACATTCAATGATTGTGACCCATTCATGGTTCCCTTGAATGACTGTACATGGTCACTCACTGCACTCAACTGCAGTAATAACTTTAGAGGTTGTACAGAGACCCATTGCAAAGCCAGTCTCATCAAAATTCCAGATATCATCTTCATGGATACCATGCTCTTGAATCGTCTCTAATATCATATTAAACCATTGTTTGATAATCTTTGGATCCTCCTGCTTTGCCCGCTGGTATGGTATTCGCCGATTAAACTGTGTTCGCAGTTGTGGATGGCGTCTAATAAAAGCAAATGCCCAGTTGACTCCTATGTTTGGAGTAGAGGTAGGGGTCTGTTTTTGAAGCAGTATCTGGGCCATTTGACGTAGGAACTCCAGACGAATTGCAAAACCACGTTTGTCTGCATTCAGTATTTGCTTAACAAGGACTTCTTCTTGAATAGATGATAATATGTGATTATTTGCACGTGTTTCTGTGCGTGGTTTTCGTCCCTTGAGGCGCTCGCGAAGAGTAGTTTCAGATACCCCAAACACCTTGGCAGCTTCCTTTTTTGATTTGATTTTTTTCGAGTTATAGGCAGATATAGCCATTTGAATGTTAGATTCTTGAGATTTAGGCATTATGGATTGAAATGGTGAAGATATAATGTGTTGAAGGAGGTAGTTAATCGAATATTTGGTGGTCGTGGGGAAAACGCGCCGCTCGCCCGTGCGCGCCGCTCGCCCGTGCGCGCCGCTCGCCCGTGGAATACGTTAGTCCACACTAATATTTCTTTAGATAACATGCTACTGCAAGATTTAGGGAATGGAGTTTTAAAAAGTACTTTGCTTATATGCAAGTCATTAAGTATTAAAAGTAAGATGTATCACTCTTATCTTCTTTAGATTAGAAACTGCTTTAATACAGCATTAAAGATAGATGGTATTATATTATATTCTATATCTAGAAGGTCCTGTTGGCCAGGATCTTTACAATATTATTATAGCACAGATGATTCATTATTGATGATTTATATAACCAGCAATTAATATATGTCAGGATACTAATGTCTGTTCCAAGAAATATTTAAAGCTAATCTATAAATCTAATTCTACCTTTCATGGTCAGACACAGCAGTGGAGAGATGTGCAGGTAAGAATAAGCTTACCACTTACTCAATGGGCTTAGTGCCCAACAGAGCAATAACTACTAGATAATAGGATCTTTTATCATCCTTCTTTCTTTCTCCTCCCGTTCAGTTATTATTATGTATAGCTATCTATTAAATATATGGTTTTTACCTCTTTGACAACTGAGCCATTATATAATAACTGATATTCTTCTATTCTCTTTTCCTTCATTTTAATTCACTAATGAATTGATATGACTTTCTCAAAACACTATTATTAGTTATAGATACCTACTTTCAGTAATCCACTCACAATTTCCAGGCTGAATAGATTTAACATCTATCTATAGTTTCTGATCTACAAATAACCTTTACAGTTGATGCCACATCCATTTAGAAGCCAGTTTCATCCATATTATAGATATACTGCTCGAATATGCCATACTTCTGGATGGTCTATACCAGTTAACCCATAACTCATTAATGGTTGTTGCTTGCCGCCGCCGGGCAGCTCGGTGATAGATTACGTTAGTCAAAAAAAGACTCGCTTAGTAAATTTATAAAGAAAATAGATTATGTATTGTACTGCAGCAAAGCCAGCAATGTCTAAAAGAGAATATTATATAAAGTTAAAACAAGTTCCTGATTCTCCTCTACTTATAGAAAGAAACTGGCTTTTAAAGATTAGTTAATTGAGGTTAAGCTCAAGTTTAAGACATTCTAACTTTTTCCAATACTAATCAGTTAAAAAAAGGGCATATTTAATATTAAGAATAGGAAGAGCAGTGCATTAGCAGTTAAATATTAGACTTAAAAATAATGTCAGCAGATTTTTTTTTTATTGAGACGCTTTAGACAATCGATAACTGCCTTACATAATCTATCTGTACTAATGTAATCCACAGGCGAGCGGTCCATTTTCACCGCAATCACTGAATATTGGAGCTTTTCAACCACCAACGCCAATTAAAATTAGCTATGTAGTAATTAAATATATAGCTTTTACTAGGACAACTTCTTATAGTATGTCCAACAGTCCCAAAAACACCAACATCGAGTGGCTGAAGGAGATGAGATGTATGTGGAGGCATACAAAGACAGATGATTGCATTCTCTTTACAGAAATGATCAAATTCTGCAGTTTGGTGACTTGAACGGCCATCAAGAATAAGCAACTGCTTCATACCAGTTGAATGTGGTTTAGAAAAAGGATCAAACACTTGCTTCAGCCACTTAAGGCCTATCTGATCTGTTGTCCAGCCATTGATGCTATTGGTAAGCTTCTAATCTTGAGGAAGATTAGGCTCTTGATACCAAGGAGCTTGATGTTCTTTCCCCTTTAAGATAAACCACTGGCAATCCCCTTAGAACTCACACATTCAATGATTGCGACCCATTCGCGATTCCCTTGGATAACTCTTTGTCTTTCACTGCGCTTTACTGCAGTAATAACCTTAGATATTGTACAGAGCCCCATTGCAAAGCCAGTTTCATCAAAGTTCCAAATATCATCTTTGTGACAGTTCAATGCCAGACAAACAGCACTAACATGTCAAACAATGCCATACAAGCAATATGGGCAAACAAGAGCTTAAGCCACAGCACACACAAATTCTTATAAAGACTGTTCATCGCCCAGATAGATTTCCTTTTCTTCTTTCCCAGATTCAATATTCTCGTTGATGGCTACAATAATTTAGATAAGAATTCAGTCATTAATATCTACTATTCCGAGCCCGTGACAATCTTCGTGTATACCATGTTCCTGAATAGCTTCGCGTACAGTCATAAACCATGGTTTAATAATCTTTAGATCCTCCTGTTTTGCACGCTGGTATGTAGTCTAATTTAGTGATAATAGGAGAAGAGGATAAGTGGCTAATAAATGAGATTCTAGCATCCAAGATTATATAAGGCAGGTTGAAGTAACATAATCTATCACCGAGTTGCGCAGTCAGCAGTGGCTTCCCCTGAACACACCACATACTACTCTTTAATCCTCCTTTTTATCATCATATTTATCATGGACAAGGAAGAGCGAATAAAACTAGCTATTGAGGCCTTTAATAAAGGCCAATTTCAATCAAAAACTGCATGTGCAAAGGCATTTGATGTCATTCCAAGGAGTCAAGGACTCTAATGTATCGCCTGAACGGAATGGCCTCTCAACATGAAATGACTGCCAATTGTCAGAAATTATCAGAACTTGAAGAAGAGACTCTATCTAGATGGATTCTAGATATGTATCAGCGTGGCTTACCTCTTCAAATATCAAATGTCTGCTATCTTGCCCAATTACTGCTAT